CATTTTGGTGAATGACAAGGATAAACAATGCGCATCGTGCGTGAAACGCACCTAAAGTTGAGCGACGTTGGTGCAACCGGGCCTTGTGTCCACTCGATGTTAGAAATCGGCCCGCGATCTCGGCCCAAGAAATATGTAGCCAATCAACTTGCATCTTTTACAGAAGAGCTGCAGTTGATTCGCTACACGTTTCTCGAATCGGGTACGCGGGCCGATTTCTAACATCGTAGACACAAAGTTTCACACCTCGATACGCCCGTCCCGTCTCGCAGCCAGACGAATACTATTTCGTGTGTCGGTGACGAAACGCCGGCGCGCGGCACTGCTCGGAGTTGTTATTGTCGGCCGGCGACCTTGTTATTGCGCGACGTCACTACTCATCCCACATTCTCCGTGACGGGCAATTATTTTCGCTTCAGTTGTCGCGAGGCTTCCGCGAGACGACGACCCCGGACGTGTTCGCGTCTGCAAGTGCCGTCGATTCGTTTCAACGAATATCTCGCGCGCGTCTGTTCGCCGCGAAAAGTGCAGGTGCCACGGAACCGCGTCGATTTCTCCTCCATCGCGCGTCTCCGCGACGCTCACATTCGGACGAATCCCGTGCTTTCCGTTGTCGATAAGAAACTTTTCGGGCCGCGATATCGCCGCGATACGTCGTCGGTTGTTTAATAGCGTGCGCTTTAGTGGGATATACGTGCTCGCGGTGTAGCTCGATATCACCTTTTCGGACGCTCAATCGAACGTGAATCTGAGGGTGCAACTCACAGAGCGGAACGAGAGCCTTGACCAATCACGAAAACAGCGGAACGCTCGTGATTGGTCAAGGCGCTCGTCCCGCGATTTTCTGCGTGCGCCGTTCGCTCTGTGAGTTCGCACCCTCGCTCGCGTGGTAAACCCACGGCCGGCAAGATTTGGCGCGTATTCTGTCGCTGAAGATGGCGTCGCGTATCGGTCGAGGCGAAGCGGTGTGTCCGCGGCGCGTTTCATCAGATCTAGCGAGCGGCCCGTCGGAATTAGGTAATCCCGCGTTTCAATATTTTGTCAGCCGACAGTGCTATCGCTACGCCGGCCATGGCTTAACCGTCGAGACGTGTGGATTCGCCGCTCTCGACGACGCTTTAGAGTCCGCCAAGTACCGCGCGGGACGGATCCGCTCGGCTCGCGAGAGAGCGACAGAGAGAGCGTCGCGTACCTTCCTATACGCCGCGCGGTGAATGAAATATTTGATACGTAGACCACAAGTCGGCCGTTGCGCGATATTCGGAATTGTTTTTGTCGCCCGGCGACTTAGTTTTTACGGGTCGCGCGCGACGCCCCTCGCCCCTCGTCCCGGCAATCGCTCAGTCGTCGCGAGGCTTCGGATCGCCGTTCGCGTCTCAAGTGTCGATCGTTGGTCCGAACGGATTATCTCGCGTACATCTATTCGCCGCGGAACGGCGTCGGTTTATCCTGCATCGCGCGACGTTCGTGTTCGAACGTGATTCTCGAGTTTGCCGTTTCCGAGCAGCGGCGATACTTTTCGGGCCGCGGTCGCGAATCAACGGTGCCCGTCGGTGAAGGAAGCTCGCGACACGTCGTCGGATGTTTAACAGCGTGCGCTTGAATGGGATTTACATGCTCGCGGTGTATCTCGAGGTATGTTCGCGTCGCATGCTCCATCTTGCTCCTGCTCGCTCCAGCGACCAATACCGCTCTACTTAGGATTTAAGTGTCGGTATTGGTCGTTGGGGCACGGACCGACCGATGTCGCGCGTCAATCTAATTCGCGCAGTGTCCACGGCCGGCGGAGGATTTGGCGCCTTTTCGGCCGTCAAAGATGGCGTCGTGGAACTTTCGAGACGAGCGGCGAGTCGGGTCGCCTTTGATCGGTGAGTGCGCCGTCGAAATTAGTCCCGCGTTTCGATATTTCGCCCGGCGACGGCGGAATTGATGTGCCGGCGATGATTTAACCGACGAGGCGTATCGTGAATACCCGTCACTGCTCTCGACGACGCTTCGGAGTCCGTCGACGCTCCGCTCGCGAGAGAGAAAGAGAGAGAGAGAGAGAGCGTCGCGTATCTTTTTACGTCTCGCGGCGAGTCAAATATTCGGTACGTAGACAAGTCGGTTGGATATTTGCAATAGTTTTTGTCGCCCGGTGACCTTGTTGTTGTTAGCGGGTCGCGCGCGACGCCCCTCGTCCTCTTTGCTCTTCGCGGCGGCAATCACTCTCGCTCGGTCGTCGCGAGGCTTCGGATCGCCGTGCGCGTCTCCGATTGTTCGTTCGAATATCACGGATCTCTCGCGTACGTCCGTTCGCCGTGGAAGTGCCGATTTTATCTGCGTCGTGCGACGCTCGTGTTCGAACGTGATTCTCGAGTTGGTCGTTTCTGATAAGCCGCGATTTTGTCCGACACCTTTCGGCCCGCGAACGCGCGTCGACGCGTGAATGCCGGAAATTGGCGACACGCTGCCGGTTGTCGATGGACTTGCGGCGTTTACTTGGCGAGATTCGATTAGTAATCCGGTTCTCGTGACAATCGCTTGTTTTTTTTCGCTACATTTCCCGCGAACATTCGCCACCGGCTCGAGCGGTTACTCATAGCGACGTGTTATTTCGCCAAGTGATAATCGCGAGTGTAAGGGAGTGCAACAGCGGTGCCGTTGGTCGTACGCAGGACGGCTCGGGACAACGCAACCGTGTGGTAAGTAATATTTGCTTATGTGTTTATTACACGTCAGGATTTGCTACGTGCGGAACGAACGATGCATTTCCGCGACGTTGCTCGTTCATTTCCCGCGGCCGCTTTGTATCGTTGCACAAAAGCTTTTTCAGCAATTTAAGGAAGATATTTAATGAAATGTTTGTCTAACGTTTTTACACGTTGTTAAGTAATCACGCAGAATGTTTTAGTAAAAATTGTATAATTAGTAAATACGTGCCTGTGTAAAGTAAATTGGAAAAGTTTGAACGTCGGTCATTTTTCATCTTAATTGTGTGGAATGTAGCGATGATTGTGATTCTAATATATTTTTTGTAATTTACAGGTACGCTTGCTGCCACACGCCAGGTCTGTGAGTGTCTAAATTTCTTATTTCAAATTGTGACGGTGGATCTATAAGGAAAAGCCTGCATTAGATGTACGCAACATTTTATTCTTATGCTATAGAACGTATGTTACACTGTCGTTTGATACATTTCGAAAGATATCGTTGAATTAGTGTCAATATAAAGGCCACAAAAGAGGTGATATTATAATTAGATCCATTGCCATAAATAGACGGGCTCGGGCAGATTAGCGTTAACATTTAATCCTGGAACATACACAACTGCCAATCTATCGTGCATGCAAGAATGCACACATTCGTGGCTCATGAAGCTTATTATTATTATCGCCGTATCTTTTAGGTCGGTTTAATCAGTTGATTATTTGTCGCAAGTAAATTATAATTAATTAAAGTTTGGAATTTATTGCGTGGATTAATTACGTTATTGTGTACTTATGTCGGTAAAGAGAGAAATAATAAAATGGGGAAAATAGAATCGTGAGAAATGAAATACTAACACGGTTAAAAAAAAGATCTTTAGTATTTTACAATGTTCGTACATTTCACATAAATACGAGGCGGTATATTATACATAGGAGGAAATAATTATTAATTTTATTATGTTTCTTCCTCTCCGCCCTTCTTTTCCCAATATCATTTTAATAGAATTTGAAATCTGCGTTTGGCTTCCGTCCAGGATTAAATGTTGGATAAAATGGTACAAAAAATATATACTTCAGAGAGATCCAATATAAATCTATATGCACACACATACAACATAAATAAAAGGGGGATTAAGAATATTGTACAACCGTCTTGCACATTCCGAGTAATTTATTTAATTAGGGACATGTTAATAATTAATTAATCAATATTGAAATGTACCAATTTTATCCCGATTTTCCAGAGTCTGTCGATTCATATTTTTAAAATAATTTTTGTGCATGTCAAGTGTCACTTGATACAAAATAAAATAATATGAGATTCAAATTAAAATTGCAATGCGCGACAAAAGAGGTTTTCATATAAATTACCGTAAAAAAATTAATTAAGTGCATATCAAATTTACTAAAATATTTAATGACGAAATAAACATTTTTAACGTGTCACGTCAAAATTAATTTTCTAAAATTGTGTGTATTGGCAATGCATAGTAGCGAGATATTTACATCGACGCTAAAATTCACAAAGACTTTTAATCGTTTCCCCTCGATAATTATTCATTTGAATAACGATCTACTTCATCTCGTACCCGTCATCCGATTTGTCTTCCATTTTTTTTCCATTTCCACGTTGTTAACGTTCGATATGAACGATGTTTATCCATTTTAATTGGTTTATATCGGACATCTGTTATTGAATTTTATTCCTTGCGGCGATTTTATTATTATACTATTCATATACAGATACACAATTACGAAAACACGTAAAATGGGGTGACGGATTAATTGTGAAATTTTACGATTACATTCATTATAACAAGAATCTTAACAAATTAAAGATTTGTCTTTTTATAATACACTAGTGGAAACTACGTAGGGACTAATTAAATGATTTCTACGCTAATTTATAGAGCGGAATAATAAAATACGCATCCTAAATCGGTTCTAAATATCGATAAAATAAGACGATTGCGGCTATAATCCAATAATAAATTTTTATCTGGCAACTCATAAAAGAATTACACATTTCGAAAGTACTTGCGTGATAAAATGCAGTTAAACATTTAAGATCGCGTTCATAGTAGTATCGGTATTATAGGCTATTTTAAACAAATTAAAAACCAATAACCTCGTCCTTGCCTTCAACTTGGCGGTAATAAAAAGTGTATTCGGCGGTGTCCAAAGGGTTCTATATACAGAAACATCTTGACTAGCGCTACGATCTACTGAGATTATTCGTACACTGATATCTCTACCACCGCCGCACCACGTTATTGTGGGTGGCTCGGTTTTGTAATTAGCGAGACTCACTGTAATCCCAAGCCCAGTAATCGCCAGCACCCGCCGTGGGCAGCATCGTGCTCCAAGCCTCTATGTAAGAACAGAAAGAAAGAAAGAACGAAAGTAAAGAACCGAACCATGCCTCGATCGCCTCGCGAAAGGATTCTTATGCATTTTCCAGAAGGAAAAAATAAAGGGAACGGAAAACGGAGCTCCGTTCTCGGTAATTTAAACGCTGGAAAACTTTTGCGCGATTGTTATAAAATTGCCTTCCCGCAGCGCGGCAGCTCCACAAACGCGAATATCGAGTGTTAAACAACCAAGTTTCTCCGTGCGGAGTGCCATGCAAAGTTGAATCACTTTATCCAGATAACGATTCGCCGCGAGCATAAACTCTTGATTAACCAGTCTGAAATAGATAATGCCAAACGAGTGCTTCATCGTAGCTCGTTTTATATTCGCTCGACGATTAGTCTCCCTCTCGACTTTCCCGATTTACGTTTTTGCTTCCTGAAGAAAATTCAAATGGGCGTAGTTTCAAATATTAATCACCATTACAATTTACTTGCCGCGATATTAATTACGGGCTTGCCACGCGACTCGGTGTATCAGCTCTATCGAATTTCTTTTCTTCTTCCCTCTTCTTACGTACACGCGCGCAGTTTCCTTTCTCTCAGTCCTCGCGGCCGCCTCAATTTTCCGCGATATTTGTTAAGAAATCTCGGCAGATTGATTATTTTGACCCTAATAAATTCTCAACTACCTTTTTCTTTGTGCTCCAGCCCTCATTTCTAGCTTGGCTATTTTATCTTGCGCGCGTCTGTAACACTCTCATCCTTTCTGCACTCTCCCATTTTCTTCTTCCTTTTTCCTCCATTCGTTTCAACATGGTCATTAAGGCTGGAAATTACATTATATCGCGTATAACGACTGTGCCTGTCAGGCACGACGAGGACAATCGCGCCTGCAAAAAGCTGTTAAGAGAGGAATTAAAATGAAATTGTCCTGGTTCCTTTTGCGAAGAGTCGTCTTTGAAGTTTCGCGTTCTTCTGGACGATGTCTCGGTAGCGACAAAGGACTCGGCCGTGAGTTCGCAAAGATTCGCAATTATCAGTGAAGTAAACCTTTGAATAAACATTCTGCGCTGCAATTTTCGATAAAGGAATATTGTTTATATATATATATTCATTCCGGCCATGAAGAGATCCTTTTTCCATGGTAAACTCTCGACTCTTAATATCGCAAACTGCAAAACCAATTTATTTAGTGTACTTGCTTATTGCATCAAGTAATGAAAGGAGGAAATCGAACAATTTAAATCTTATTTACAAGCAGTTTTGTGTGACGCATTTTCTCCTGCCGTTGAAAACAATACGTAATAAAATTATAATATGTAATTAATCGCTCGATTAAAGCACGAATGATAATTTTGCATGCTTATTACTTAGTTGCATAAGGCTGCGAGAAACTACCGCTAAACGACTTTGCAGTAACTTACGTCATAAATATGTCTTGAAACGAGGTACATCGTATATCTGCCACGTGCAGTAATGGAAAATCCGCAAGTAGTAAAATTACCGCTAATGCATGGTCGAAAATGGTATTTTTTTTTCGGTGAACAACATGAAAACACGAGGAAACGCAGAATTTTATCGCGGGGAGTAAATCGTAATTAAAGTAGATCCGGTATGTTGCTTATCCGCGAGAAACGTAATCTCGGTTTTCGCTATTAAACCTGTCGGGTGCACAGCTTCTTGAATTTTGTAAGAAGGAAAATCCGCATATCCGAGGACACATGTGTTGCAAATTAGTATAATAACGTTACGTTTCCTTCCTTGATGACGCTATAAAAAAAAAGAAATAATTTTTGTCGACAAGCGTAGAAGAGTTTGCAGCGCGTTATAATATTTGCGATCGATTGAAATTAATGTCTGCTGTAATCTGCCGTGGATTAATACGTATGTAATTTATTACAATACGGAAATTGTAAAATAAATCCTTCCGATTTAAATTTCGATCAGAATTCCAATACACCCCTGTAGTGCAGACGCTTAAAAATTGTCCGTAAATAATATTAAAACTGACCCTCGAACTCTTCTGTCACGACGACCGAGGTTTTCTTTCAGTCGATTTCGAATGACAGGAAGAAATGCATAAACTTTGGCACATTTCGCCACTCACATTCGCGATTTCCAAATCGCCTCCGTTAATGACTCCTTGTGCGCGCACCTCATTAAGGGAAGAAATCTGATTGTAATTATCGGCGAAACGTCTTGGAACAACCCCGACTTGCCCGGTTTCTCTAATTGCCAATGGCTTACGAGGGGGAAAAATCTTTTTGGAACACTATTTCGCTTCTGCAGCTGTCGACAATTACGCCTCATTAAGCGACGCGCGTACTCTCGCAAATACGCGTAAGAGTTAACGAGAGATGCACGCCCATGCAGTTGCATCCAAGCATTTTATCGTTAAAGGCAACGATCGATCGAGTGGAATAGGGGGGAAAAAAAAAGAGGATAAAAACGGCAATGGCGAAAGCAACCGCGCGATACGTTTGCTTCGTGACAGAATGCAAAATGTAAAGAAATTAATATTTGAGGGAAACGTTCTCCGTTTTCACGAACCTTGGGTGAATGATTAATATTGAGCTTAATGAAACACGATCTGCGACGTTAATAAATTGTCGGTCGCAAAATCGAAGGTCGCAAAAATTGAAAGAATGTTGCGGATAGGTCTGTAAATTAATGAAATATAGAAGGCCGAAAGTAATATCAAAACCACACAAAATCAATTATATGGATAAATATCAAGGGTGAAATAAAATTGCAGCCTTGGCGAAAAATGTCGAGCGCCTTTAATAAATTGTGGTGAGTCGAACGTTTCGACATTTGAAAATTAATGAAGCTAATTTAATTGCCATCATTTATAAACTGCAACTGTTAAGGTAAATTTTAAATTCGTTTTACTAAACTTTGTTTTACTAAAGCGTCTTGGATGGCACAGCGAAAGTCTTTTTCTCACGCGGTTCAAACATTTTTAAGTTCGAATGCGCACAGACGTTTCTATAATCACCAAAAGTATGACTTGCAAACGTACAAGAAAAAGTTGTAGTTTAATCTATTTTCACCTAGTGTCAATATTGTTAAATTAATTACTTTTTAATGTACGTTTAATGTCAAGTATTAACGGTAACATATATTAATGTTGTATTTAAAAAATTAAAAAGAGAGTTCTCTTAGTAAAATATAATGTGATCTCTGGATAAAATGCAATTAGTAATATGAAGCTATTCTTTTATTATAATTAGTGTTGAATTGAAATTGAAACTATTAAAAATGAATTTACTGACCTTTCTCGCAATACGCGCCTTCATAATCGCCGCTGCGACACTCGCAGATCGGCCCGCTGTCCGTAGAAATGCAAATGCCACCGTGCTGACACGGATCGCGAGTCTCGCAGGCATCTGTCGTATTTGCTATATTGCGTAAACTCTGTAACAGACATTAAACCATAACGTTACGACAAATATTGTATATCCAAATTATTAAAAGGAGCAATTTGAACCATGATACAGTATATTCTTTTTATATTGTGATTTTTATTCAAATAATGAACAGTAAAATTGTAACTTCAAATTAGCGACTTGCACAAGCATTCCATTGAGGAAATATTCACGTCAATTAATAGAATATTTAATTTCAATTATATTTGCGTACTGTTTAAAACAGTTCATTATGTAAAAGTAAATTTTTTTATAATCATATTACACTTGGTACTTGCAAACATCATTGAATTAATATGTGATACAAAGTAGATGTGAGAATTAAAAAAATATAAAAGAGAATCGGTCTTACTGTTCATTATTTAATTAAATACGCAGCGCTCTATATCACAGAAAAACTGCATAATAATTAAATTACAATACAATGAGTATATTTTAAAAAAGTATTGCGTAATGCAAATGCTTTCAAATTATTCCTACTATTGCGCGCTACAATTTTCGCATCGTATTATGCAGCAGACAGGCTTCGTGGCATGGATATATTAGCTACAGAAATATAACTTCTTAACATAAATCCAAGAAAGATTTAGTTTATAGGGCGGGGGGAAGTAAACTTTTTTATTTTCTACCTCACGCGATATTTACCGTGGTATCTCTGATGCAGCCATTAAAATATTTCACAATTTATTACGATCATATATTTTCACTTATCTACCAATTATGCCTTTTTTTGGGCTACATTTCGAGCCATAAAATGCAAGAAATGCTTTTAAATAAATTTCCCTTAAATATTACGCCACGAAAAATTGTTCTTTCGTCAGCATAGTTGCAGAAAAATGTCTTTTCCTTTCTAAAATAAATAAGAGATAATATATGTGATACGTTCACTTGTAATATCGCTTGCAATATTCATCGTGATATTACGCAGCGACGAAAATTAAAGGGAAGGTAGAAAAATAACGTACTTTAGTTTGAAGAAGAGCTCCGCATTTTTTCAATTTACATTTATCTTTATTTCGCGACCTTATGCGCTGCTCTTCGGGGGCGACGAATAATAAACGAAGGCGGAACGCGCCGCCGCGGTAAACATCTTTTTTTACGATTCATTTATCTTGACAGCGCACTTTCAGCACTGCAACTCACTTTGCACCGTGCACCGTCGCGTTTTAAGTCGCGCAAACGAGATTTTTTTCACTCCCAGGAGCTGGCCGCAACCGACTTTTATGGATGCTCTTTGCGCTGAGAATAAGCGGGACGTTGATCTTATTCTTCAAGTTCTTTTAACGTTGGTCCCAACTCGATTTGAGTCTGCAGAATTAGATAGAACGAATTCGCCCCGGATCACTTTTCTCTCGATGTGAACTAATTTCGAAGAGATTTTCCGAGAGGTCTTCACAGTTGTCCATTTATCCGATTTGCTATGCTACGTCTGACATTACATTAACACAAAATTTGGCATCAGTAGGCATTGCCTACATGATTTTGCTCAGCGGTTTATTACCCCTCGTCCCAGACATTTCATAGAAGATTATCACGTACAATGATTGTTAGAATATCCTTAATTGTCTTGGCGAAAAATTGGTCAGTATTTCCATCGAAGAGTTAAGGCTCGAATGAAACATTCTCAACTTTGGCGAAAACAGTGTTGAACTTGCGAATAAATTTATCTTTGCGCAACGAGCATCCGCAAATCCGGCCGATAAGACAACCGCGTAGATCACGATCCTCATCTCTCGCTCGCGATGCCAACTTCCACCGGCAAAGTTCGCGGGTATACGTACTTATTGGCCGGCGGATATAAATATTTGAACTTCCAGTCTCTCAAGGATGCGCCGTAATTTCTATTCGCTAGGAAATCACTCGCGCGTTTGCGGCTAAACCAACGGCTAACGTAAGTGCAATTCGCTGCATCGTTCTCGTTTTCGGACAATGGCCTGCAAAATTGGTCTAATTCTTAGCAGGCCTTTCTCAGTAGTTAACGGGCATTAGTATCTTTCACCCTTTTTCCTCGAAAATCTTGTTCGACATTTTTTACAAAGGCTCGATCGCGAGAAATTTAGTCAGTGGAGCGATGCGGATGCACGTGTCGGGTCACGAGGTCAACCGCGTCGCTGTGCCCTATTATTGCGGCCAGGTTGGGTTCGAAAGTTGGCAAATGGCCATTGCAGAATACGGAATAGTAATCTTAGCGATGAAACGAAACGAAAGGAGGCGATATGGGTTAACTCCCGTCGCGCATTGAATATTTGAATGGCAGCATATATGAAGAGATTGAACTTTTTTCTTAACATAGATTATCGAAGAATACGTTTTAGCTTTAAATTCGGGCAGTGCAGGAAACATTTCTGCAGCGCAGTTCGGCATCAAATCGCGCAATTCTATTTAAGTTGGTTCTGTTTGCAAGCGTTTGCAATACTGAGCACGTTCGCTTTTAATAGAAATTTAATTTCGAGCTTAATTGTCGGTAATAGCAGGCACAACGTTGAAAATAGAACACTTACAATGAGTGATATTTCTTAATTTAAAAAATATACTATACAAATAGTGTAGTGTAAATCAGAGCATTGTGAAACTTCGTTAAATTCATATCTGTTTTTTTGGTTTAATTCATATCCGCAAGAGGACTAAAAACTTAGACTAACGAGTATAGACTGCACGAATATGGCCACCAAGCCTGCTTAACGAGTCGACCGCATTAATCATATTGGACCACACGGCGCAGAGGATTGTTAACGAGATTTCCTGCGAGAAAAGCTAATTGACGTCTAGTCGCGGCAAATTGCATTTTCGATATGACCCCGGCTTAGCCGTTCCTGGCCTTTCTGTAGTTAGTAAAATAACACGGCTCAGTATTTCGGGGCCCCGGAAACTGACCAGATATATTAACTATATATAATATCAATAGATCGTTTGATTTCATTAAATGTGCTTGTTTTAATTGTTTGTAATAAGACATTTTTGTAACGAAACAGCTAATGAAATTCATCGTTGTTAAGAATGGATAAATTACGAATTGGTGATTAGAGAGGAACAAGTAATATCATTTTTAAAAGCAGATTTACATAACTGTATTCAGAATAAATGTTTCGTATGAAATCGTTTTCGCGTAATTTTAACTTTGTTTAATTTTTAAAAAATTAAAAGGTCACAATTAAAAGGTTTAAATACCAATTTAAAATATGTTGCTATTTCGCAAGTCAGTCTCTCGCATGAGAGACGGTAGTTTTTTCCGAGCTTACACAAATCAAACTTGTGCAATTTACGGAACGGAAAATTAATTAACTGCAATTAATCCAGCGTGTGCGACGGAATTCGGTAAAGACAAAAGCTGCGTGATGTTTATGAACTATGCGCAGCATAGTTGCGTAAAGTATGTCTGCCGCTATACCGACCGCAACGCCCAAATAAATCAAGCGATTTAATTTCGACGGGATTAAACGGCGCGATCGGCCCATCCTCGCGTCGGCAAGTTTTCTATTCCGGCACGTAGAACGGTAATCCACCCGTACCTATAGATTAGCTGGCCGTAAATTTGGCGCTTCTTAAAAGGCTGAGCGGTCAGCCTTTGTCCTACGATGATTATGAATGGAAAATCTATCAGAAACGTTATTACACGGCCGCGCGTGATGAATTCACCGCGTGTACGTACGTTCGCACGTGCGCGATTTCAACAGAGCGTTATAAGACGTGACTATCGCGAAACACGTATAACGTAAGATGCAGATTACGTATGCGTCGCCAGGAACGATACAATTTTCGCGCGACACGAGTCATCCTGTCTCCGAGGATGCACATCTCAGGTGCAGTGTGCATTCTTCCGACCGCAGAGCGTACCGCGAAATACGCCGGGGAACTCGGGCTACGGCAACTCTGATAAAGTCGGAAGAAGGGGTCTTGTACCTCGAAACCCGTCAGATTGTCGACAGAAACTAAGGCAATAAATAAGGCACCCTCTGCGCAACTGCGGAGGCAACTGCATCTCCGCGTGCCGGCGCAACACGAAACTGCGCCATGCCAAAACTGCGCTATTTGAATTTTGACCGCGAACATGAGAATTCCGGACAAGCACGCGACCTCGGGGCATAAACCAGCGGAGATATAGAATAAGTTGCGTCAAAGGGAACTCGCTTGTTCGCCAAAGTTCGAGGTGGGCTCGGCGGTGCAGTTTACCGAATTAGCAACCGCGATGGCGAACCGCGTCAGTATCAATACAGCGCGATAGGGCCAACCTGCCGATTGCACAATCTATTCGTTACTTCATTCATTACTGTCACTCCGCGAACAAGCACCGCATCTGCCAAATTAACTCTCCCCTTCGTTTCCACGAGGAGCTGATTCGCGGCATAGATCAAAATAGCATCGTTATCATTAATTTTTTATCATAATGAGAAAGGATAATCCAGGAACTTACTGTTTCCTTTTTAACGAAAATAGCTTTAACCCTTCCAGGACGGGGGCTTTACTAAAATAAGAGATCTACTCCCTGTAGGGACCAGCCCGTCCTGAATAACTTCATTATTCGATGTCACGTGTTATGATGTAAAGATACACAAAGGTATAGGCACGTTTATTCATTTGTTCGCTTTACGATTTCTATTGCGCGTTACGCATAAAATATGACGGTAGAGAATATGAATTGTAGCTAAACGGTTTTATATTTGGTTAAATAAACATATGAGGGTCTATATAACGAAGTTCGACGTTGACTTTGACTAAATCGGAAAAGTCTGCAACTTGATTTCACTCAAACTTTAAATCTTTCTATTAAACTCGACCGATTTCCTGACGCGATCCTAATAAAAAAATCATATTAAAGTTCGGTGTGCGTACTATGTGCGGTTGCGACTATTTGAAAAGCTCGAAAACCTCGGAAAAATAACATTGATAACAGGCTGACGCAAAAATCTTGCGGATGATATTATTCGGTGAAAATACGTGCACTTCCCGTAACGAGGAACCGTAGTATTAGCAACGTGAAATCTTTGCTTT